TCACTGCCTCCCTGAGTTTGCTCAGTTTCATGCTCATTGCTTCAGTGATGCTATCTAACCATCTCATCCTCTGCAGTGGGACTTAAATCCATATGTTTAATGGGAATAAAGTAAGTAGCGGCATGAATACTGATGCCAGCTATCAAGATCAGGACTGGGCTGATCACGTCCCACATTCTCTCCCTGTTGGGTGACCTACTTGCTCTCCTGCTTCTCTTGGCAGTGTGCGAAGAAGGCTTCTACCTCCACCAAAAGACTTGTCTCAAGACCTGTCCGCCCGCCTTTGCTCCAGCCCCAGGGCCGACCCCTGTGGAGAACAGCCTCGACCCCCACCTGCTGCACCACAGGCTGTGCGTGCCCTGCCATCCATCCTGTGCCACCTGCCTAGGACCATCGGCTGCCCAGTGCTTATCCTGCCCAGCTCACGCACATTACAACAGCCAGGAGCACACATGCTCACATCAGATGCAGAGCAGCCGGGCCTCCCCTGCCCTGGGGGAGGGCACGGCTCTTGCCAGCCCCCCTTCCAACCTGCCACTTCTGGTGGCAGGCCTGAGCTGTGCCTTCATTGTCCTGGTGTTCATTGCCGTCTTCCTGGTGCTGCAGCTGCGGTCGGGGCTGTGCCTACATGGGTACAAAGCCTACTCCCTGGAGAGCGGCAACCTCATTGCCTACAAAGGCCTGCCCTCGGACTTGTGGCAGGAGGGGCTGGAGGAGGAGGAGGGCGAGAGGACTGCCTTCATCAGAGACCAAAGACTTTGATGAGTCTGTGGCCCCCGGCGAAGCAGGGAGGGATTAGGGAGCCTGAGCCTTGGCCCCCTGCTGCTCCTGCTCTCTCCTGGGGCTGAGCCCTGTGATTTGTGGGCCAGATGCTGCTGGAGTCACCCTCTTCTGGTTTTAATTCACCAAAGTTTTTTTAAAACTAAACCAGTCTGTCCTGTTATGGTGGGAAGGAGGGGGAGGCATCTTCCTCGTTGGGGCAGGGCTGAGGTGGAGCCTTCCTCTGCCTGGTGGTCCTCAGGCTCCCTCCTGCAGGCGCGGCCTGGCCTGGCCTGGTGTGGCCAGGAGGGCACTGCCCTTGGCCTCCTGGCTGATCTGCTGTCCCCCCCGCCCCCGGCACCTGACTGGACAGGGCAGCTGGGAAGGATGGCCCTGAGGCCACCTCCTTGTGCAGCGCAGCCGGGCTGCCCGAGCCCCCCCCCCGCTGAGTGAGGCGGTCTCTTCT